GATTTATTGATTTTATTAGTAAGCGATTAGGCTATTCAAAAATTTAAAATTTTATTTCATGATTATAACAAAAATATAGAAAAACAACCTTGTGTCTTGAACTTGGTCTCCAAATATATTTATTTGAGGCGGTTATGTTAACACTATATTTTTTATTTGTTACATAACATTTTGATTGCAATTAAAGTTCTCAATCTTTTCTTACTGAAGCACTTATGTTCTTAATTTTGTTTTTTCATCAAATTTTGATCTTTAATCTCATATAAATAAAGAAGACATAATTCATAAATCAAATTTATCAGTATTATTGTGTTAAATAAAAACAAAATAAGATTGGTTGAATATTATAAAAATTATATAAGTCATATTGTTATTTATATTTCTTAATTTTTATTCATGTTTTCCAAATCACAAAACAATTGCATATGCTTAGAGCAATGGTTGAACTTTTTCCTTTCATGAAATTTTGACAATAATCATCATATATTCAGGTACACTTAGAATAAATATTATTAAATAAATGTATGAGACCCATTTGCACATTTTACCCAACTACAGCTTTTTTTCTAATTAAAATTATGAGTGATTCGAAAACGACCGATTTTGGCCAAAATACATAGGTTAAAACCATTTTCATGCTGAAGGCAAAAGTTACTAATCATTTACGCTGATTTCGCAGAGAAGTCATGGATGAATATCGAGACAACTCCCACGATCACCCTCACAAAATTTAAGTTCATATTGATCATGCACAAAGATGATAGACCTAGCCTCCAATAAGTTATTTTCATGAGTAATTGATACAAAACGTATCTTTCTATTTTCCTCATTATGCAAATTATTTTTATCGTTTCATTTTTAGTATCTGAACCCTTAAATCAACATTTCATTGCGTAAAATGTTATTACAATCTGATTGCATCCATTTACTCCATCATAGGATGTTTGCACTGTACTCAAGTATTTTGGTAAGAGCAATTGGTCAAGACGCTAAATTAATTATTTTTCTCCGCTTTATCCCGTTCATTCTAAATAGTAATGTTGGGGGAAATATTTTAGACCAAAATATGTGAAATTAAACAATCAACAATAAAAAGCAACAAGTAACTATTTATTGAATCTAAATGATAAAGATTATTAATTCAATTAAACCCTAATTAAACAATCGCATAAACATTCAGATCAAAAGCAATAAAAAGTAAATAACTCCATAAATCGATGACAGAGGTAAACCCCTTGAAGAACTCTTCTCAAGGATTAAAAATTTTACGGCAAAGCTTGCCAAAAAGATCAGTAGAAACGTTAATCTACAATTGGTTCAAACATTATTAAACCTTAGCTGACTCTAATTACCCAACTTGTAAATCACAAAAAAACCTCTTCGATTTTTGCGATCTGCACTTTTCAAAAATATGAACTAGTTTTCTCTCCATTGGATCAATAAGAACTAACTTATTCCGCGTTAGAACTCCAATCGCCTCTTCTCCAAATTTCATAGCTCCGAAAGTTTATAGGTGAATGTAGTGGATCTTTTTGACAAAGTATGCCCGAAAGTAATTACATAACAACAAGGGATTCGAGTCAACTATCAAGCATGGTCTACATGTCAAAAGTGGAATGATAGAGATGGTGTGTGCAATGAAAAAAATAATAATAACGTGCTGTGCCAATTATCCTATTTTCAATTATCCAATCATTTTGTATAATCTAAAATTACGAATATAGCTCTCCTATAAATTACTCTCATTTATATAGATTGATTTTGTTTTTCACACGGATTAAGACATTTCATTTAATGTTATTAAAAAAGTAATTTTTGCAAAGATTTTTCTTAGTTTACCCGTATTTAATTATCAACAAGTAATAATAGTATTTAAAAATAATGGTGATAACTAGGCAAATTAAATACTATGAACCACTTAAACTTTACTCCATTCGAGAACTACGTGTATTTATTTGGATGATTCCATTGTACAATTTCAAGATTAAGTGAAAAAAATTAATTATAATTATGCAAATTAAATAAAAATATATTAGTAAATGAACAAAACAAATACTTTCTAAAAAAAATATGATTATATAAAGAGTGGTTATATTGTCACCGCAATTTTTATTTGATACATCACATTTTAATTGTAATTAATCTCCTCAATTTTTGTTCATTGTGGTAATTATTTCTTTAACTTTTTTCGTCGAACTCTTGTCTTCAACCTTTCATTAAATAGTACGTCTCATCCTTGATGATGTTTTATAGTAAAATATTTTGGTTTCATGCTTTGAAATATGAAAAAATAATTTTTTTTTGCACTTTTTTATTTATTTAATTTTAAAAAATATGATGAAAAAATAAATTATTTTACGTCGTTTCACAGGATTTTTTAACATAAATTTTTTATAAAATACAAAATATGTTAAGTAATGAAAATTTTGAAAATAAGAATGACATGAAAATTTATTAGGAATATAAATGCTATAATGAGCAAATATTAAAAATTTTTAAAAGCAAATAAAATGTGGTGCAAGAAATAAAATTCGTGGTGTGAATATAACTAATTCTATATAAATAGGACAAGAAAATAAAAAAAATCATCGTATATAAATGGAACGAATGGAGCATAACAGTACTAGAAGGGTCTGTTTGATTGTGAGAATGAAAAATGGGAAAAAAGAAAACGAATTTTAGGGAAAATAACTGTCTAAAACTTATTTTTTCGGGAGTTGTCAATTAATTGTTTTTTATTGATATAATTTTCCACCTGAAAAATGTTAAAATTTTGGATCTTTTGGTATTCGTTTGATTTTGTTTTCCATATAAATTGTTCATTAAAGGGAAAAAATTTTACAATTGAAGATAGAATTTGTTTTCATTACCAAAAAAAAGCTGAAATACCATTTTCCCACTAAAGTGGTGGAAAAACCAATTCAATGAAAACCTGAAAAAAAGGGTCACGTGGGGGGTTGAGAGGAAAATGTTTTGCCATGAAAACATTGGCTATCTGTTGATGCACAAAATGTACAACCTAATTCAAATGACCCAATAAAGGAAATAGCCCAAGAAAAGAAGCCCAGTTAGAGATATCAAGGTGAAAGCCCAACCAGAAATATCATTAAACATGATAAAAGCCTAAAAACAAAGGAGCGTTGTCGCCCAAGCTTGCAGAACGCCCAGAGCCTGAGCGAATATAATACCCTGTAGTCGCCCAAGAACTACGAGTCCATCATCGTCCAAACGATTAAGTCGCCCAAGGTCCCAGTGAAGACAATGTCCTGTCATTATCCAAGGTAGCGGTTTCAAGTAGTTCATGCCACATCCACGATCTAAGAATCTCAATGGTATGGAGTCGTGTGNTTGAATTCAAATTTTATTTTCAAAAGGCAACAGCTGTAATTAAATTTCCCTTGATTAACGGCCATTCACGAGTTTCTGTTACATTTTGTGTATATGGAATTTGGAAAGTTTGGTTGCCAGTATTTTTGATGATTTTATGTGATGTCTGTGATATAATTTAAAGTTTAGAATAATTATGGGACAAAAAGAATTATTTCATATTTCTAAGGGAACAATACACAAACCTACATGTAAGAATTACTTTTCAAAACTAACAAATTTGGCTAATTATTTCAAAAATCAGGTGGTAAATGGATTTATTAAATATTAAATTATAATATAATATATATATTAATTATTTACACCTATGACACCTCACCCACCCCACTACACCACCTTTCCTCCATCTCCGGCACTGTTCCGGCGACGTCCGACGATCGCTCCGGCTACGGTCACCGGTCCGACGACTGCACAGCTCCGGAGACGATCCGGTGACTGCTCCAGAGACACTTCGGTAATTGTGACCAAATGTGTATCAATGTGACTAATTGTGACCAAATGTGTATCAAGTGTGACTATTTGTGGCCAATTTTGTGTTAATTGTGACCTAATATGACTTGAATATGATCAAGTCACAATCGGTTACAATTAGCACAAAACTGGTCACAACCAGTCACAGTACACTAAAATTTGGTCACAAATGGTCACCCGCTTACACCACGGACCAGCACCACAATCTTACTCATTTGACTGGCCGTAAATCCATATCAATGCCATTAATTCACAAGTCCCAAGAGATATGACCTAGTTGCTCATAAATTAAAATTTAGCCTGTGTTTGAGAGAAATTATTTCCTCATTTCTATAAGAATTTGGACCCAAATCAAAAGAATCTCATCCAATGAATCTTTCACTTGATAATTTACTCATTTCCATAGCAGAAAAGGAAGATAACCGGGAAGAATAGAATTTCCACCACCAATCCGCCACACACCCACAGATCAGCCGCCGCTCCGATTCACACACTCACCCAGCCACACACCCAGCCACAATCTCCTCCCATTCCACTACCATGGCCACAATTAATGGTTATTGCCGCCAGCTAAAGCTCCCACAAATTATCATTAATAGTTACCATGGGTAGTGTGAAAACATATGGAAATTTCAGATCTGGACAAAACTTTGAAACTCAAATCAAACCACAAAATAGCAATTACAGACATTTCAAAAAATATAATAAACATTGATTTTTATTATTTGAAAGTGTAATGGAGATATTGCAGACAGTATTGTGCGAGAAGTGGATGAGGTTGGACAATTGGAGCTCAGCGGAAGATTTATAACCAGACTGAAGGTTACTGGCAAGAAACAAGTAAGCTATCGTATAATGACGTCTGACAGCAAATTTCCATGGCCTCTATAGAAACACCAGTTCCAAAAAGCTGAAAGAGTAGTGGTGCCACCATCCGAATCCCCATGTCAGGAGACTGAAAAGGTCGAGTTGCCATGTGAAGTCCTGACTCCAGAACCCAAAAATTGGAGCCTCCACCGAAGGGGAAAACTTCGACAGCTTCTCCATCTACTAATTACTTTACTCTAGACGTTGTGAAAAGAGTAGGGAGAGGAGACGGTGGCGGTGGTGGTGGCTGAGCACAGAGACGGGGAGGAGAGAAGATGGAGGAGATACTTTCAGGCAGAAAAGAGGGAGGAGAGAAGATGGAGGAGATAATTTCAGGCAGAAAAGAGGGAGGAGAGAATTTCAGGTAGAAAAGAGGGAGGAGGCGGCGACGGCGGATGAGATAAAGGACAGAGACGGATGGATATGCGACCTGACTGGATCTTCGAACGCCATCGTCCCACCGTCCACCACTTCGAGCGCCAGCGTCTCCGGCGAGGGAAAAGGTAGAAGACAACGACGGAGAGGAGAGAGACACGTTGAGGCCAGAGAGAGAGAGAGAAAACGATGAGGGATTGAGGGTTGGGACGAAAATGATAAATGAAGGTTTTAAAATTTTAATAATTATAGTTATAAAATATTAGTTACCACCTGAATTTTGAAAATGTAAACTTATCACCTTGTTTTTGAAATGTAATTTTGAAAAGTAGGATTTGAGATAATTTTATCTTTCTTTATATTCCTGACTCTTTTATGACCATCCAATTTCGAATCCAACGGCCCATATCTAGCCCCACAATTCTGATGGACACACTTCTCAATTATTCCCAGATTTCTCCAATTTCAGATTCAGAAAGTGAGAAAAAAGTGGAGAACACTGCTTTACCTTAGCCACTAAAAAGCTACCATTAACCAATGAACACATGCCACGTGTCTATCTGGAATCAATGGTCTTGTCTCAAACGCCGTCAACGGACCTACGCCCTCCCTAATAGATTAAGCAAACTAGTTCCGCTATCTATCAACCGTCCATTTCCGATGTTTTCATGATCCAACGGTTGGGTTTCAGTTGTCAGACTATCCGGTTTACTCACACATTAACCAATCATATTACGCCACGTTTAGAGAGTAGTGCTGGTTACCTGTAATCGCCGGTCACCAACCGCATTGAAAAAACAAAAGCATCCATAAATATCCTTTTCTATTTCTATTTCTATTTCTATTTCTGAACTTTTTAGTTTTATCTTCTCCTCAAATTAAATTTCTCCCCTTTTTATTTCTGGGTTTTCTTGATTGGCCGAGGAGAACAACAGAAAGAGGGCAAAAAGAATCTATGAGAATTATCTGTGTTTTTTTTGGTTAATAATTCAATTTTTTTTTTGTTTGACATAAATATTGGATTTTTACGATTCTGTAGTTCGTTAGATTTTTTTTATAAGAGTTTAATTTAGTGGTTCCTGAAGTTGGTTTTGATCAGATTCCTGTAGCTTAAGTAAGTTATTGTTTGAGGAGAATTCTCTTTTACAATTGAGTGAATTTGGTGAAAATTTTGAACTCTGATCTAGGTTTTGGATATATTTGAAAGGTCTGATCTTGGAGTTGATTGGATTTTCACGGTGTTGTAATACAAGATTTGTGGGTTTTTTTTTATTTATCTTATATCTTTAGCCGCTGCAGAGAAAAGAACTGAACTTGATTAAGATTAAGGTTTCTTTGGCAATTCTCTTGGAGCTTCCTTTAGTTTACATATATGAGTTACAACACACGTGGGGATTGGAAAATCTGAGGTTTGAGGGTTCTAACTTTATCTGGGGCAGTTGCATTTTCGTCGGAAAGGAATCTTTTTATTCATTTATATTGTGGAAGGAACGTAAGTTGATGTTTTCGGAAGCTATATGGCTGCCCGTACTGATTTTTCGCCTCTGTTCACTACCATTGAAAGCGATTATAATAGTGATGATAATGTGACTGCCGCTGGGAAAGATGGTATAGATGATTTGAGGAAATCCTCGAATGGTAAACCTCCAAGGAATCTATCTGTTGTACAGCATTCTATAAGCACTACAACACTAGTCTCGCCCTCTGATTTGGTAAGTAAATTCTTTTCACTAATCAAGCTTCAATCTTGTCTAGTTCCATTAATCAAGTTTGAAGTCGCCTGCTTACTAGTATATAGGTTTTTTTATTGCTGTTAGATATTTGTCATTAGTATAATATGTGAGTTGCAACACTTGATCTTAAATTATGAAGTGATTCAATTGAAGTTAAAATATGTAGTTTCAAAGGTATATTACAGGATTTCTCTTTTAGTGTGTATTCCACTTGTGAATGCTAAAAGAATATGTTGAAATGACACATGAAATAATTGCAGATCCTGGTGTATAATCATGTGGTTGTGCACGCGTAACTTCTATTACCCTCAATTGTCGAAATTCATTTTTTTCAAAAGCAACGTTTACCATTTTAGCCATAGCTGCTTTCAGTTGCAAATTAGTTTAATTAGGGATGCCAGCTGATTGTGTCAATTGTCATGGACCCAATCACCCACCAGACTTTATCTACTATTTGGGTTTATTGCAATGTTGGCATGTTCTCTTTTGATGCAAGGTGGGTTGGCTAAATGTTGTCCTATATTTAAGTTTTGTTCTTTATGTCTTATATGGCTCTCATGATATACTCTTGAGGGACTTCCAATCGTGAATTCATGGCCCCTTTCCTCTGTCATTTACACTTTAATCAAGCTAAGAAGAATCAAATCATTGCCTGAAAGAACAGGCCTTAATTAAGTTAGGCTTTCTTTTCTAGATGGAAAGAAACTGAAATTAGTCCTTGTAGAATCTGTTTTAAATGCACCAAGATTGGCTATCAACCATGTATAAAAGGATAGCAATTTTGAACCTTCTGAGCGTTCAAACTTCAAAAGGTCACAAGAATTCAAGTTCTCTCTGTGTTACTTTTATTTTCGGATTCTAGTATGGAATTAGAGTTTATATACATTACTAATGTCCTAACTAATGTTTCAACCCATATTGGCTAGGATTCTGATCTTGGGGTGTTTGAAATCAAGTCACCTTCAGATGTAAAGTCAAGCTTCATACCAGTTTTTCGATCTGGAAGTTGTGCTGAGAAAGGACCAAAGCCATACATGGAGGATGACCACATATGCATAGATAATTTGCCTCAACATTTAGGCGAGATTGCAGGTTTTCCTTCGCTCGGAGCTTTCTATGGGGTGTGTAAGTTGAATTCTACTAATGTGTAGCAAATCTAGTACAAATTGAATATATATATAAATCTGCTATTACGACTTTGTTCTGTTGAAGAGGTGGGCACATCTCGCCTATTCATGAATTAACGTAACCCTATTTGCCGACCTATTTGTTTGATCAGTGCTTTTACCTGGGTAGTGGAGGCGTGTAGTTGCAAGACACTGTTTCTGGAAGGCATTTATAATTATATGGTTCACAAACAATGAAGATTGAGCACGTGTTTTGGAAACTTTACAGTTGCACTTGTGCTTCATATGATATTTTTGTGACGTTACAGCAGATTCAGAATTGAGATTACCTGAAAATATCCATTTAGGTTTTTATTATTGGACCTACTTTCCAGAATCATGGTTTCTTTTTAAGTTACTGAACGATCATAAAAGCTCATGAATATTTCTATCTTCCTTCTGGCTCTCAATGTTTCCATAGTTGTCTTTACCCTATTTCATTAACTGACACTCAATATTGGCAGGTGTTTGATGGTCATGGAGGTACGGATGCAGCATCATTCATTAGGAATAACATTCTCAAGTTTATAGTTGAAGATTCGTGTTTCCCTGCTTGTATAGAAAAAGCAATTAAGAATGCGTTTCTGAAAGCTGATTATGCTTTTGCTGATGATAGTTCCCTCGACATATCCTCTGGAACCACGGCCCTGACTGCAATCATATCTGGAAGGTAAGACATTGAAATATTTTTCTTATGTTAATGCACTCGACCTGTAAATTATCAAAATATGCCTCAACTTAGAATTTTAATATAGTTGTGCACTCGACCTGGATTTCAGATAGTTGTGCATGTTGAGTTAAGGTCAAACATACGACATACCATGTGATGGATTTATGCTAGCCTTTAACCTGAAACTGATATAACTATGAGTTGCAAAGAATTGGGATAAGGAAAGAAATAGAGGGGGAGGCCTTTGTAGTCTGTTGCATTTTGTATTTGCCTCTGTAACATTTTTTTTCTTAAATCATTCATGATATATTGATCTTAATGTGTAGTGTAGTGTTGTGATTTTTATTTTTTTGGTAAGAACTTATACTGGATGATGCATAACATGACTGTATGATCTGTAGAACAATTGTAGTCGCCAATGCAGGCGACTGTCGAGCTGTGCTAGGGAAACGGGGTAGAGCAATCGAGCTATCTAAAGATCACAAACCTAATTGCACGTCTGAAAAACTTCGGATAGAAAGACTTGGTGGAGCCATATATGATGGTTACCTTAACGGCCAACTGTCTGTAGCACGTGCTCTTGGAGACTGGCACATGAAGGGCCCAAAAGGTTCTGCTTGTCCTTTAAGTTCAGAGCCCGAGTTGCAAGAAACACTTTTGACCGAAGATGATGAGTTCTTGATTATGGGCTGTGACGGGCTTTGGGATGTTATGAGCAGTCAGTTTGCAGTCACAATGGCTAGGAAAGAATTGATGCTGCACAATGATCCAGAAAGATGCTCGAGAGAGCTGGTTCGGGAAGCGCTGAAGCGCAATACATGCGACAATTTAACTGTTATTATAATTTGCTTCTCACCAGATCCTCCACCTCGTATAGAAATACCAGAGAGTCGGGTAAGGAGGAGTTTATCAGCTGAAGGGTTGAATCTTCTTAAAGGTGCAATGGAAAGTAACTCGTGAGAAGATAGAAAATGATCCTTTTCAGGGGTTTCCATCCAGTGGTCTCATAATTTGTAATTTGTGACTTTTGAATCATGTATATTTGAGAGAGGTGGGTATTGTATGGAAGAACAAAGTGTTTAGACCTTGGAGCTGATGTAGAATGTTTTCTACTCATGTATAGAATTTCAGAACCATTTCGTAGTCCAACATAAATCTTTTACTCTTCACAATTACTTCAGATTGTGCAAGATTTTTCCTTTTCCACTGTTGATGATAAAAATCTGATCAACAAATCTTACTCACCTAGCTATGAATTTCACTTTCTAAACTCGTTAGTTTTGATGCTCAAATTGGAGCAAAAAAGGGGAAATAGATGTTAGAGATGGAGATATTTGAATTGCATGTGTTTCTCTCCAAATGAGGAGGTATTTATAAATTTCTCTTCAAGCCTTGGGGGTAATTGGGTCATTTAGTGAGAATGACTGGTGGCGACTTCTTGTTGGTTACTTTGTAATTGATTTGGAGCTTTACGAGTGAATGATAACCTGATGGGGAGCGGTTCGCCTCATCTTATGCGAACGTCCTGGGGCTTCGTTCTCCTCGCGTTTTGTCATATATGTTTCGTAGAGGTTTGCAAAGCGAGTTTTTTGGGTTACCATCCACGATTAAAAGAGCCTGACCAATTAGGAAAATAACTTCTTAAGAACTCAAGCTCTACGTAAATGAGTTACGCATGCATCAGGTGAGTCTGCCATAGTGCATGCATCTAAGAAACCTTCTTCCTGAGTTGTTTTCATTCCATGTAAAAGACAATTATTCACAATGATGATATAAAGCTTCTTCGTAATTTTGGAACGTGGAAAAATTGAAGTTGCAAGTGGCTCTTTTTAGGCCTCTTCGTAATTGGGATGGTCTAATCTAATCGACACCACTTAACCAACTTTAAAGTCTTGAAGAACAAAGGAGTAGGTTGGAACTAAAAATAGCTAGAGAAGTCTTATTTTTTGTTTGATACTAAGGTCGCTTCCGTTTTAGAAATTTTACTTTAAAATTAAATAGAAATTTACATACTCATTTTCGACCACACATTTATATAATAAAATAAAATATTTTGCACGTAAACACACATTTAATCACATTCTTCAAAAAAATTATTATTCAAAACTCTATTTTCTCAAAATAATGGTGTCAAACAGAGACTTACAAAAGGCTCTTAATATGAAAAGTAGATGACTAATTTATTTCATTTTATTGGTTGTAAATCAAATTTCAGCTAGGTTATCAAACTTTTGTAAGTGTAACTAGAACGTTATTGAAAGAAAATACCCCAAAGTGAACAATAGCCTTTTCAAAATACCCATTTATCATTTTAAAAATTTAAAGTT